TGTTGCGAAAATGCGAGGCAAATGTCAGATGAAAGAGAGAAGCCGATAACTAGTACATTCTAGAAACGATAAAACGAGAACCTTCGATAGCGTACAACTCGAGTATTCTACCCTTTCGTCTACGAGCAGCCGACTGCTATATAACGGCGACACTCAGCTGCCAAGTCAAGCTAGTTACAAAGTGAACTCGTTGGCGTTAACATCAGTAAAGTCGTAAAGTAAACGCGTTGGGGACTACATTTAAGTAGAGTAAATTGTGAAAGTTGATGCTAGTGATTGTAAATAGTAAAGTGCATTGTAATTGAATTGTAAACTACGGAGTAAATAAAGGACATTAGATAAATTCTTTGTAACGAAAGAAACTGCAAATTAAGTTGGCGAGTTTTATTTAACAATCCAGAGATCGTACCCGAAGGATTCAAGAAATCATCGAGGTTTATTTAGCAAAATCGTAACAATATTGTACAGTCCTATTTGTACTATGTCAATAAAAAAAACCATTGTTTTTGTTTCAAAAGAAATATGCTTCAGCAGTACATATTAAAGAAATTATTGTGATTTAATTATTAAAATTTAATATAATTATTTATAATACGCTGAAGAAGCAAATCATAATGTTGTGGATTCTATTGTAATGACATTAATAGTAAGCAGTGCAACTTAATATGAGAAATCGAGAGTTGATCCGACCAAGGGCTGCCACCCTTTAGATCAACAAGTAACATTAGTCCAAGAACATAAACGGAGCAACACCCGGGTTTCTTCAAATCCTTCTTATCGAATCCAATTCTGGTCCGACGGATTACTTCTGCTGTTCTCATCAAAGAATGCCTTTGGTTGAAAGGGAAGTTGATGATCTGACATCTTTGGGATCGACTTGGCCTAGGCGATCAAGTCTTGGTACCGGGGCTAATGCTTTCTCAATAAATTTTGTGAAACTGCACAAATAGAATTTTTTGAAAATTGTTAAAAGCTCAATGATCCATGGAAATGAAATCCCGAGACTAGTTTAGTTGATGGGGGTAATTATGGGCAAATGGTTCGCTGAGAGCTACATTAGACGCCAAGTTGTATCATTAGTCAGACCAAGAGATATGTGACGATTACCCACCTCTCTTTACATTCCAAGTTAGGAAAATGGTTATTAAATCATAGTTACGTTCTTCATGGTGCATAAATACTAAATAAACATATATCTAAAGAATATATAATATATACATGGAATACTTAGCATTTATTTAAAGTAAAATAGAAAGCAACAATTATGGTTTAATGTTAGGGGCTACGAACATATTTAAATATATTATTATTACTTAGTTGGCCGTGTAATTGGTCTTGTCTCAGGTCGCTTTGGTGTAACGTCATCATCAGATGATTGTGAACTGCTGCTGCTATCTTTCTGCGACTTCTTTTCTGGAATCTCGAAAGGGAATTCCATATTTTGCTCTTGCAGAGCAGTTTTAAGTCGCAAAAGTGCAGTACGATTTATATTTTCTAAACATACATCTTTGATTGCAGTTTTCAGCGTGTCCAAAGCTTTATCAACGTTTTTATTGGTTGTATGAATGTCGATCAGGCAGGAATAAGCATTTCCGATTGCTCCTTCGGATATCTTAGACTCACGCAATTGACTGATCACCGTCGCTGCAAGTTTTTCGTCCTTTTGCTCCCTTGCTGTTTGCAAAACACGTTGGAACATGAGGCGTGGCGCATTCGAGAGGTATTTATCCCAAATCGACTTAGCCGCTGCCTCATCGCCTAGAGAAAGTAAATGCATCCAAAGCACATTAACAGGGCCTAATTGTTTATGTTCAGCATATTTTTCTGCAAGTTTTTCGACTAAAAAAAAGAAGAAAATTTTATTAATATCAATCTTCTGTAGTTAAAAAATAAATATTGCTTACACAATGATAATGATTGAGGGTTTTGTTGCAAAATACCTAGAGCACCACCACGCGGGAACTTATCAGCTAGTTTAGCTGCTTCTTCTGGTGTCTTTACCGCAGATATCTGATCATAAAGTGACTGTAAGTACTGGTCAGTTTTACCAGCTACAATATTAGAATGGCAAAAGCGATTGTCAAAGGAAACGATCTTCTTTTGTTCGTCAGTTAATTGTTCTCCAATCCTTTGCAATGCAGATACATCCCCGGCAGCAGCGAGTTTATTTAAGTAAAATTTAAAGATCTTCGGGATTGGATAACGTTTGTCTGCTAAAAGTTCGTCCACAAATTTGGAGGCCTCAGTTAGGCGCTCGGCCCGTACGAGTTGCTCGATTAGAAGAGAAAGATCAGTAACACTTACAATTTCATTAGATTGTAATTGATTTTTAATGTTGAGGGCATTTTCTATGTTACCAGTACTGATAGCTTTACGGAAAAGGGATAAATTGGATGACGATTTAGCAGATGGTTTCTTTGTTGTATTAGCAGATTCAACACTTTTAATATTTTTGGATTTAGTTGAAGTAATTGCTTCGTTGTTTGGTACAACAAACGGTACATTCATGTTTTTCTGGATCAATAGATCCGCTAATTTATTGAGGAAAGCATCAGTGGGTGCTATATTTTCTTCCTGCATTTTAGTCCAAAGACCCAAGGCTTTTTCTGCATCTTCCGATTTGCAATAGCTTAGCAATAAATTATAGTAGATTTTATTACGATCAATATGATTCAGATCCTTTGTCGCTTCAACCAACCCTTCGAGTGGTTCTATCATACCCTCGTTTTTATAACGTTCACATGCATGGTTGATACGTTGTGGACGAGTACGAAGACCAGGTGTCTCTAAAATCTTTCTTGCTTGACGAATACGTCCACATTCAACGAAGGAAAACACCAAGTCATACAGACTATTTACTTCACCGTGAATACCTGTGCTTAAATCAGTCAGTTTCTGAAGATTGGCAGCATCCTCCTTCTGTATAAGGCGACATGCAAGTTCATTTTTCCACGGTGTAGATTTATATTTTTCACAAATTTCCTCAAATGCCTCCATTGCATTTTGAACGTTGTCATTTATAAGATGTACCTGCAAGAATCATAATAATAATTAAACAAATAAATACTTATATATTACGAGTAAATGTACATACTTTTATCAGCGGCCCCAAAATCACATTGTTGGGATAGATATAATTTCCAGCTACTAGCACATCAAAGAGCTTTTGTAGTTGTTCAGCGCGTCCAGATTCTGCCAAGTTATTTAATAGCCGCCACACAGTTGATGTATAGTTAAACGAGCCTTCGTTATCTGGAATTACTTCTTCTTTCTTATTACGCTCCAAGAATTTAATGGCATCGTCGAATCGCTCTTCATTTATTAGCAGCTGAGAAATGTGCACCGTCTTCTGATTATCTAGTACGAACTCAGGTTCCTTTGATTTCATTTTTTCATACAGTTCGAGAGCTTCTGCTGTTTTGCTCTCTGTGGCGTATAAATCTATCAGCTGCGCCCAAATACCAATAGGAATAGTGAACTTGTCAGCCTCCAATTTAGCAATAACTTGCAATGTCTTCTCCAGATTACCAGCTCTGAAACAAGCGTTCAGCAGTTGGCGTTTCAAATTGTTAGCATTTTCTCCTTTTGCCTCCACATTAGTGATGAAACGTTCAAGTTCTAAATAAATGTTACATACAAAATTATTAAATATCATAAAATTAAGCTTTATGAAGTTTACCATCAATAGTTAAAGAATCCAAGCTACGTTTACGTGGTTCAGCACTTTTCAAAGGCGATACTTCCAAATCACCCGAGCTAAGTTTGGCCAAGTTTTCAGAAATCTCAGTAGTCATTTCAGACCCCAAACGTTCTGAAATACGATCCGCATTCTTGTTGCTTATGGACAATCCTTCTTTTACTAAGGCAGGAAGAACTTTGCCCAAAACTTCAACTCTATTGCGGCGGAAATACACACTTACGTCATTCAGTACAGCACCAACAACGTCAAAACTTTGATTAGAACTCTCAGTTTCGACGACTTCAGAATTTGCTTCAACCTCATGGCCCTCTTCTTGTTCAACACGCTGCCCGTTAGTTGTACGAGTTTGTACACTTTCGTAGAGCTGTCTAACAGCACGAACAAAAGAGTTGTAATCATCTGTCGTCGAAAGCGCATGTACCAAAGGCTGTCTGAATAAGAAAGGTGCGTAATAAGCGCGATATGATTCCATAACGTTAGCAGCAGGCTTCAGATGATTTGTCACTAAAGCTGCGTATGCAACAGAAGCTGCAGCGTTAGCACTTGATACGCCAGCATCTCGTAATAGTGTAACAATTTTTTCCCAATTCTTCTCCTTTAAATTGGGTATAACATAATCACGTAAAGTTTCAGAATTTGGGTTTAGCGCGAATTCGTCTTTCATGTGACGTATGATGTTTATAATTTGGTTCGTTTCGGCAGAGCAAAATAACGGCCAGAAGTAGTGCTGACGAATCGGAAATCCTGCGCTCTTCATTTCACGCAATAAAGGTAATGCATTCGAAGCTGCACCATTACTAAGACCCGCTTCCGTGGCAATCAAAAGAGCTTTGGGATTCAGACCTTAAAAACATTAAAAAAAATGATAAACTCTGATAATTTTGTATTTAAAATATTTTAACTACCTTCATCTTGTAGTTGCTTGCATATATTTAAAATTTTTTCCACTGGTCGGTTGACTTTCACAAGTTGCTTAATAAAGAATACTCCCGCATCTACAAGTTGGCCATCGGGACGTGTACTCCTTGGCATGGTACGTAGAATTTGTAGACCTACATCTTCAAAACCTTTATTAACTAAGCGCAATATGACATTTACTGCGTCTTGATTGAATCCAGTCGTAATGCGCAATCTCTTCAATACTGGCTGGACTTTATCTGAGTGGCCATTAACACTGAGTGAATAAACAATATCCAAAAGATCTTTGTCCAACAAGATTATTTCGGCCTTTTCACATTCATCCAATGTATTAAGTATAGCATCGATGTCACCATGACGTGCATAACAGCACAGGAGGGTCGTGTACGTGTCTGCGCTAGGCTCTAAATTTGCTTGCTTCATTACCGTTAAAATTCCTTTAGCTGATTCCAAATCATTTGCCTATTTACAAAAGGTAAGTGTTAAATTAACTAGAATATTTACTGTTTGTTAGCAACTTACCTGCGAGTGCCCAAGAATGAGAGAATTGAATACATTTTCGTTGACTGGCAGATTTTTCGAACGCATAAATTCTAATATCCGTGTGGCACCATCAATGTCGCCTTGCTGACAATAGCGAGCAATTAATCGCTGATATGTCACTCGATTCGGCTCAATATTCTTTGACTCAATTTCAGATAGAAAATCGGTCGGTGAAAATTGGTGTTCGTTTTCCAAGTAGACACGCAAAAGCGCATTATAGTGTGAGATATCCATGGGCACATTCAAGGCGTTTAAGGTTTTCCAAATTTCCTGTACCAAAGCTGTGCGCACCTCTGGCATTTCTTCGGGTACCAAGTTGCCACAGCATCTTATCACAAGAAGTGATTGTGAACTGGTTGCTGATCGTTGACTTCGGATCTCCTCCAGTACTTCTTCAATATCGCGACGAGAAATTCTTCCGATACGGCGCACATCCTGGTCTAATCGCCTCAACTGCTTCTCCAAGTTCAAGTCTGACTTAGGTGCTGGATTACTAGCGAAACCACTAAAAATGTGCAAACATAAATTTTGTTATTTTTAGGTTATGATCAAGTGCATATGATAGTAGTCTAAATCAAGAACTTTTACGAGGATAAAATGTGACGAACCACGTCTATGCGCAAAGTATTTAAAAAATGATTTAACATCAAACTTATTTACTTTTATAACGATAATTTTTTATTTCACGATTTTACTTTTGCATTGCGTAATTTGATGAAGAGGCAGAGACACCGGCCGGGTTCTTTTCTACTTACTGCTGAAATTGTATGCTGACACTAGGTGCACTTTGTAGCAAGTTACTTCCATTTTCATTTTGTCTGACGGAATCTACCACGAAATTTCGTGTGAAACCAGCAAAATATCGGATAAATTTCCCCGTTCGTAAAATTGATGCCATTGCTCGCCTTCTGGAAGATTGGATGTGACAAGAAAAGAGATGTCTGTCTGTCAATCTGAAGTAATCGAAGAGAAAGAGGATTTAGAGTTGCCGTTCTAAGCAAATCATAATCAAAAACATATTGGAAAAACAAAATAAATGGTTTTTAATTACTTATAAACTAAAATGTAGGGGTATATTAAAACATTAATTCCTATTAGAATTTATTTTTGTACTATTTAGAAACCGTAGACTCAAATATCAAACATATTAGGTCAAAAATGGAGAAGCAAAAAGTGGGACATCTGTGAGCGATTTTTATATTACGATTCTTGATTGCGCATATTCGTTTCTACCAGCTGATTAACATACGGCGCGTGTGATAACAATTTTAGGTTTTGGAAGTGAAAATATTGTGAAATATAATTAATCCGTATTTTATAATATCATAATAGATTAAAAAAAATGCTGCAATTTCTCGGAAAACTTCCAAAACATGTATTTGGATCTAATATTGTGATAACCGTGTATGGAAAGTCGGGTATAGGTTCACCCTCTTATGCTGTTTTGTGCAATAGATTTTATTCTGCAGAAGCAAAGCCGGCATCAACATCTGAAGGTAACTGGTAATTACATTTTCAATGAAATTTTTTTTTGTGTGATGGGAATTTATATTACAGAGTTCAGAAAGAAACAAGTTCGTTTCAATATTAAAGCAGAGCATGTGGATGGTAGACCATTATATCTTGACGCACAAGCGACGACACCTCTGGTAAATTCATTTTTAATATTTAAATCCAACTCGAATCTTATTATTTAATATTTACAGGATCCCAGAGTGTTAGACAAAATGATGCCCTATATGACGAATTACTATGGAAATCCACATTCTCGTACTCATGCATATGGTTGGGAATCTGAGAAAGCCGTAGAAATTGCACGTGAACAGGTGGCTCGATTAATTGGTGCCGAACCAAAAGAAATCATTTTCACTTCGGGCGCTACAGAATGTAACAACATTGCCGTCAAAGGTGTCGCTAGGTATTTAGAGCGAATATTGAAATATTTAAAAACATCCTATATTTGCGTGCATATATATAATCAAAAAAATTCTTTATTTTTAAAGATTCTACGCCAGCAAGAAAAAACATGTTATTACCACGCAAACCGAGCATAAATGCGTATTGGACTCATGCCGCGCCTTGGAGAATGAAGGTTTTAAAGTAACTTATCTTCCCGTTAAATCAAATGGTATCATAGATATGAAGCTGTTGGAAGATTCCATTACTCCAGAAACATCGTTGGTGTCCATTATGTCTGTAAACAATGAAATTGGTTAGTTTAGTAGTTGAATTTGAAAAGATAATTGAAAATTTTATAATCACTTTATAAATATTTCCAGGTGTTAAGCAACCGGTCGCTGATATAGGGACACTCTGTCGTTCACGAAAGGTATTTTTCCATACAGACGCCGCACAGGCTGTGGGAAAAATTCCCATTGATGTAAATTCAATGAATATCGATTTGATGTCTATATCGGGACACAAGGTCTATGGCCCTAAAGGTGTTGGTGCTCTTTATGTGCGTCGTCGTCCACGTGTTCGTCTTGAACCAATTCAGAGTGGTGGTGGACAAGAACGTGGCCTACGTAGTGGCACTGTTCCGGCACCGTTGGTTGTTGGTTTCGGTGTTGCCTGTGATTTAGCATTAAAAGAAATGGACTATGACAAAAAATGGATTGATTTCTTATCAAAACGTTTGTATGATCGTATAACTCAAGCTCTATCGCATGTTATTCGTAACGGTGATCCTGAACAAACGTATAGTGGGTGCTTGAATTTGTCGTTTGCCTACGTTGAAGGTGAGTCATTGTTGATGGCCTTAAAAGACGTTGCTTTGTCCAGTGGCTCAGCATGCACTTCAGCATCTTTGGAACCGTCATACGTTCTTCGCGCAATTGGTACTGATGAGGATTTGGCACACAGTTCCATAAGGTAAAATGTAGAAGCATAATGTAGTTAACAATTGTTTTATTTGTTTATTGTTCTTTAACACTTATTTATTTATTTTTGTGTTTAGGTTTGGTATTGGCCGATTTACAACAATTGAAGAAGTAGATTACACTGCTGACAAATGTATCAAACATGTTGAACGATTGCGCGAAATGTCTCCTTTGTGGGAGATGGTTCAAGAAGGCATCGACCTGAAAAATATTCAGTGGTCACAGCACTAACTTTATTTAGATAACTTTTGCGAAAGAAGGATTGTATTGTATTTTATCTGTAAATATATGTAAGTAAAGGCATAGTTTTGTAAAAGCGGTGGCACCTTAATGAATATTTTTGTCCGATCTTGTATTGCAAATGTACACAATGTGTGCTACTATTAGCAAGTAGTCTTGTAAAAGGAAATTAATATATTTTTGAAGAAGCTTGGATTGTATTGAAGTGCTTTAAATAATACGAATGTATATGGTTATGTATTCGCAAATATAATTAAATACTGGAACAATATAATTACATTAATGATTTAATAAAATAAAACGATCATCACTGTTTATTGCTTTCTGCTTGATTATAACAAAAATTAACTAGTAAAACCTTTTCTACATATGTAAATGCATACGTATGCATATGTGTAATACATACATACATATATTAACTAATATAGTCCCATATATTTCCCAATTCAATGGAGAAACATAACATTTTCTTACATTCATTTTATTTTCATATTGAGAGTTGTAACAAATTTTTTTAGTTATACACTTCATATTTTTTAAAATGTAAAATATTCACATACCAACAAGTGTCTTTTATACCATTAAAAAAGTAAACTTATGGAAATATTTCTAAATTCTTTTTGTGCACACACATTATAGCTACTATTAGTTATGATTATCGACTTTAAGCAAATCAAATGTATTAATGCACCGGTTAGATATTGTATATAATTACACTACATACATACATTTTTTAACTTTCTCCAGCTAAAAGAAAAAGGGTGAAAAGCCGAATAACAAAGGTCGAAATAGCTAATGACACCTTGTATAATTTATTCATTTTAATTTTATTTACAAAAGTGTGTTTTGAGCTCATCATATTAATATTTACATAATATGTCAAAGGTTTGCAGAGTCCAAATAGTATTTCGCAAGTGACATACTTAAAATATACAGTTTTACGCATCTACTTTATTCATATATACATATATGTAAGCATGTATTTGCGTGAATGCATATAAGCGCATAAAAAAACATATTAAGTATTAGATATTCGAATTTGGTATAATTAGCTTAATTAACTTTTTTTGCTTGTTGAGATTTATCGCCGTTTCCACCTAAAATCTTTTTTCGTTGGGCAAACATATGCAAATACATTTGTGGAAAGAGCGGTATATACAAAAGCATCACCAACCAGAGGAAAGCAAAATATGAAAATGTGGCATTCCAATTGTTTGGCAGTTCCCAAGACCAAACTGAATTTGTTTTTGCGTAGCTTTGTGCCCACCAGAAGCATAATAGCTCACCAGTTACCCCAATGGGATAGAGAGCTATAAACGTAGTGTATCGCAAAAATACAACAATGTAGGGCATAACATTTAAAATATTAAGTGCGTAATAGCCATATCTTATTATTTCCGTTACGGCCCAAGCGAAAAGCGCAATAGGCAGTCCAGGCGATACCTTTCCAGTTGGAGTAGCCATAACGACCCCAATCACTACCATCATTCGACTGAGTACTTGGAACGTTGTTATTACTGGATTAGATTTCACTAAACCAAATGAAGCATTTAAAATTTCTACAAAGGCGGCATTTTGAAAAACGATTACTGCACAACGTGTGTAGTCCCATAGATCCAACTGCGCTCTAAATTCCGGTCCTTGCAGCAAATAGTAGTTCATCAATTGAAACAGGATATAGCTCCATCCAATGACTTGTATGGCATTATACAGAAAAAGGTAACCTTTGACCGCAGCTCCCTGTTGTTGTGCACTTGATTTTGCTGTTGTAGATTTCCCTGCCATATTTGTAGTGTTCAAAATCAAATAAATACCCGATAACTTGACAACGTCTATACACTTTCACTGATTTTAACAAAATGTATTGGTTTCATTGGTTCACAGCTGAGGTAATGAATGAAAAACTTGTTTTTACAGAAGTCAGGGTTGATATGTTGCGATCCTAAAAACGCATTAAGATGTATAATTGTGAATTACATATTTACCAATAAATAAGAGGAAGAGCCGAAATGCATATTCCTAGTTTTGTTTACAAAATTGAACTATTCTTCAATTGTTTTTTCTGCATGTAAAGAAAAACATTCAAATGAGTTCTCAATTAGACGATATTCAATTAGTTAAATTAGTTCAATCGCATCCCATTTTGTACGACAAAGATCTGGCAAGAGGACATCGCAATGCTTCTATGAAAGATGAGATTTGGCACAAGTTATCACTACAATTAAACTGTTCTGGTATTTTGTACTCCTCTTCCAATATTTGGTAATTAATTTAAAAAAAAAAACATTCATAGAACGTGCTTGTATTACGAGATGGAAAAGTATTCGTGACCGCTTTGGAAAGGAGCTGCGAAGGGCGCAAGAAAACCCTGAGGAGGTCGTGAGCTGGGAGATGTTTGAACATCTATTATTTCTGAAAGATCATTACAAACATGGGTAAGACAAGACGTTCACAAACATAAAACAAGGAATAGATTTACTTTTGTTAATTTACTTAGGCAGACAACTTCCTATGGGGTTCTTAATATAAAATATGAACCAAAGAAAAGAAAACGAGGTCGCAAACGACGAATAGAATGCAGCGATGAATTATCCAAAGACGATCGAAATGATGACGACATTGATCCTGAGGAATTAATTGAAAATCAACAACTAATTGAGTTAGTGAAGGAACATCCTGTGTTATATGATAAATATAAAATTCGAGATTCGAAAAACTTGACGCTAAAAAATGATGCATGGTTTTCAATTTCTGAGAGTATGGGAATATCAGGTATTTATGGCTATGTATGCATTAGGGTAACAAAAATTAAAATTTTTGGTAGAAAAACAGAAATTAAGTTATTTCGGTGAATTGGGGGAATAAATAACTAAATTTTTCCTTCCAAAGAAATCGAATGAAAATATCAATACACACTAAGTTGAGCTTATTAAATTATATTTCCCACTCTTCCATCATGATCACTTTGTATCATTCTTGTTTTTATATAATGATAATATTTCGAATTTTCAGAGGAGATATGTCATAAGCGCTGGAAGAAATTACGAGATCGTTTTGCGCGCGAGTACCGCCATCAACAATTGTATCCAGATCGACCGACTACTTGGGTATATTTTCAAGATTTGACTTTTTTGGAAGAGCATTATAGAAAAGGGTAAGCATTAATCCTGTCAAGTAAAATTAAGATAACTTCACTTTGTTTTTAGTATTCCACTTCCGGTAGATGCAATTAGACAAAGAAAAAAAGCAAAATCTGCAACATTATCCGTTGAAGAATCCTGGGGTGACGATTGCCCATTCTTATATGTTAAAGATGAAGATCAAATTAAAGAAAATTCGGATGACATTGATCAAGAATTCAGTGAAATGAGTTCAGCATGCTTAGATGATCTTATTATTGAGCCTAAATGCAGCGAACCAAATGATCAACTAGTCACCGAAGTTACTATGCATAATTCGTTAACGATGCCTACGACCGAATTTCAGTCAAATAAACTTTCAATTGATAGGGATGAACCTGAAAAAAAGCTTTCAACTTTAATTTCGGGAATTGAAAACGTATTGCAGCAATCACAGGATTGTCTGAAATCATTACAAAAACAAAATGAACAACAAAAACGTCACTTACTATCCAAGGAATATTCCACATTTGATTCCAATATAAGTATGCTGCAGAAAATACACGTTTTACTGGATGGGTTGAGTGAAAGGCATCGAAATTTGGCAGAGCGTCGAATAATACAATTTCTATGCGAATGCCAAATTAATTCATTAAACGATGTTGATGTGGAAGACGTAGATTGCTCGCTAGATTTTTAACTGTATTTTATGTTTATATTTTTCTAATTATGTTGTAATAATAAGATCATGTACAAACCAAATTTCCGGTAAAAAGATTTTTTTCTTTGCCAGAATAGGTGGAGTGGCTCCAATGAAACCGCAAAACTCATCAAAAGGTGGTATATAAACACCATTGCTGGCGCTGTGCATCGGACATATTCTATATTTTCGTTATAACATACACTTGTGAATTCGCCTTGGAATGAATTAACCCTAAGTTTTGTTTGGAGCAATTTTTGGCTTCGATATATTTAAATATTTCATTTATTACTGAACACAGACTTTATACTTTTTTTACAATTGGTTGAGTTTTAGTTTTTTATTTTCAATTAAAGATTGAATGGCTAAAAATCTATTGGAAAGCTTTTTATGCCCTTGACTGATGAAATGTATAATATACGCATCGTGTGAACGCGCTCCAACTGTTAAGCTGTCAATTTGGATAATCAAAAATTTGACATTTGTACACCAACGTGTTTATGACATTAAACACACATACACATCGATCAATTTGTCATTGCGGGAGCGGCGATATTTGTGAAAAAATATTTGCTGGGGATTTGGTGAATGAGTTAATAAAACAGTAAATAATTTAAAATACATATTCAAAAGTGATATATGTGGTATTGAAATATGGACCGGATTATGTATTAATTTGGAAGGAAGTAAAACCTGGCTATTGTTTGTAAAAAGTTTTTTTGTATGTATGCTCATATGTATATAAAGAAGTGAAAATTTTGACCATATAAAGTCGAACGTACTTAAAATTTTCCAAGTTTGATATTCAAAAGTGTTGGAATTTCAGCATACTACTATTTGGGCGACTGTTCTAAATATATATGCTACTATATTGCTTCATACTATTCAATAAGCAGGCAAATCTTCAGGGATCACCTAAACTGGAACATACATCTAAGTGTAGAAATTGAGGTGTTGACGGCAGTCAATGTTGACACAGATCATCATACATCAACGCATTCGTAGTCGTAGTGAATAGTTGGCGCTTCTTACACATATGTATATGCGTTGCTTATGTATGACATTAAATGAACGAATCAACAGTGACCACAAAGTGTGAAGAGTCTCAAATTGTTACAATCTAAAGAGATTTAAAGCCGTGAACGGGGAATTACATTTACTGTTGATTAGGCCTGCATCTAAATTGGCCAGTTCTTACTACTTACATACATACCAAAAAAACAAGGTGTCACTACCCGAATTTACTGCCTATAAAATTAGTATCATAAAATTTGATCAACCTGTACAATAACTACTAATACGTAAAGAAGAAGATAAGGCGAGGATAAACCGGGGACTGCATTCATTTACATTGACCATACAAATTTTTGAGGTTATAAAATGATACTACTGGAAATCAATAACCGTATCGTCGAGGAGACTCTTCTGGTTAAATTTCGTAATGCACTAGCTGGGTAAGTCAAGACATAAAATTCCTTTAATTCTTGATAAGCAAAAGTTTTTCTACTTTACGCATGGTAAAATATCTTATCAGCACACATTTTAAAGTATTTTGGAGTTATGTTTGTGATGACACACGCTTTTATTCTCAATGCAAGTATATATGTGCGTTTATGTGTACATATCTGTATACTTATTTATATGTATGTGACTGTATATGCGTCCGGTATTTGCTGAGCCAATGCAATTGTTATGCTATTAACCTTAACAAGTTGCCTCTTGATTTACTCTAAGCATTAATCATCACCCCTGCTAATATTTGAAAACCAAGCGATATAAAAGTATAAATTTCATTTCAAAGCTCAAAAGCAGCTGGGAATCTATAATCAGTAATTGACTCATACCATTTTATGAAGTTGAATTGATCGTATATATGTATGTGTGTGTGTCTTAAACAAATTCATTTTTATATTCCCAAAACAAAGTTTACATAGGTTTACGAACAAAGATATATAATTCTTGTACATTCCACTTATACATGGATTGAATTCTAAATTTTGGATGAATATCCTAAAAAGAGCAGTCTATCTTTTTGAGTGTAAGTTTAAGTGTGCCATTAATAATATATACACTTTTATACTTATAATTAATTCCATTATACTTTTGTTTATTTTAGGCGCACAATTGTCCAAATAAGTGTTATCAAGCTCTGATAAGAATTGTAAATATGTGTATATATATATATATGCATGTATCAATTACTTGCTTTGTTAATACGTTTGCCATTTACATCCCTATGTACATACCTTAACTGCGAACCATCTTTCCATGGCTATTCTAAACAAAAGATTTCGTGTAGAGTTCATTATATTATATTGCATTATACACCCTTCTCATGGTATATATTATAATGGAACTTAATTAGGCTTGAATCCTTATTAACCATATCCACCATCCAATATATGTATGTACACATACATGTATGTACATACACTTTTCATATAAAAACTGAAATTTTAATTTATTTTATTTACAGCGCAAAAGCAGAATCTATTGACGTGAGAATCGCGGATTTCGATGGTGTGTTATTTCACATTTCCAATGTTAACAGCGACAAGACTAAAGTTAGGGTAAGTTAAAAATCTACTTCATAAAATTTGCTTATTTGTGTAATTTTTTAATTTCTTCTCTTCTTGAAAACTAAATTATTTTGCAGACAAGCATTTCGTTGAAGTTCTACAAGCAATTACAAGAGCATGGTGCTGATGAATTGCTAAAGCGTGAATATGGCGGCTTACTAACTGATACTGAAGATGGTATTATTTTACATTAGAACTATTAATTTATAATGGATTATTTTATATAAATGCTTATATCTTATTTCAGGGTACAACGTATCTGTACTTATTGATCTGGAAAATATACCCGCTGATTGGGAGGCAGTTGCTAAAAAAATAGGTCTATTAAAGCGTAATTGCTTCGCATCGGTTTTTGAGAAGTATTTTGATTTCCAAGAACAGGGTGAAGAAGGGCAAAAGCGCGCAGTTATCAATTACCGGAACGACGAAACTTTGTAAGACTTTCATAAATATTTATCACTTTGAGTCATATACTGTATGTTTATTTATTTTTTTTAGATATGTTGAAGCTAAGTCGGATCGTGTAACCGTTGTGTTTAGCACAATCTTTCGAGACGAGGACGACGTAATTATTGGTAAAGTGTTTATGCAGGAATTGAGAGAAGGACGTCGTGCATCACACACAGCACCTCAAGTGCTGTTCTCGCATCGCGAACCACCACTGGAATTGGCAAAAACGGATGCTAGAGTCGGGGATAACATTGGATATGTCACTTTTGGTAAGTAGTATATGTACACATATGTAAATAGCGATATAAGATTTTAGTGTTAAGGAAAGTAAGTAAATTGAGACTTGAGAATTACAAAATATCTTTTCGCTGATACAATCGTCTTTTTTAAACAAAAATGATTTCACTGCACAAATCAAATGAAGAGAGGAAAATTAATAAATAATGACAGTGAAAATGGCTATATTTGGAAATATTAGATATTGTACTGACAATATCTCTGATAACTTGTGTTTGGTTACAAATAAAAATCATATAACAAAATAAAGAATTTTAGGAGTTTAAAGTGGGATGTGAATGAACTTCTGGTTTATGTCTCTCAAATACTCCTAAATTAATGTATGGAACAAACGGCATCCTGAATAAACCTCATTTTATCTCAGATGACTTGTGTTTGGTTACAAATGAAAATTATATAACAAAGTAAGAGGTCAGCTGAGCAAACATTTTCGGAGTTAAAAGTGGGATGTGAATGAACTTTTTGTTTATGTCTACTAAGTAGTTTTTTTAATTTTGTAATAGAAAGTAATTATTACACAAAAATTATTTGCATTTGACTCTATGAAATATTAATTATTATCATATGATTTTTAATTGCAGTGCTATTCCCTCGACATACTAACAAGGAGACAAGGGATAATACAATTAATTTAATACACATGTTCCGAGATTATTTACATTATCATATAAAGGTAATTTCGATGCTAAAATGTTTGTTATTCTTTAACTACTTCAATAATACTTTTTCCATCTCTGTTTCCAGTGTTCAAAAGCGTACATTCATTCCAGAATGCGTGCAAAAACATCAGACTTTCTGAAAGTTCTCAATCGTGCTAGACCGGAAACGAAGAATACGGAAAAGAAAACAATTACGTAAGTTGAACGATATTATTCCATTTTTTATTATTTTATTTAAAATTTCTGAAATAGGTAAAATTTGTATCACAATTATATTTATTTTATATTCTTGCAGGGGGAGAACATTTATTCGCAAAGAATGATTTATGGATTATGTCTAGTTGTTTTATATTTATATAATAATTATTAATAATCATAGCTTGATGGCGACAAGTGTAATGAATTATCGTGAAATAAGCAAAAACCATACCCGATAGGAAATTTATCCAAAACATGCCACGAAATACATTCTATCGGCGTATATAAATTATAAAATGCTAAGAGTATTAAAAACTAAAAGCTAATTAATCGATTTAAAACACAATAATTTAACAAAAAAAAAAAAAAGAAACAAAAAGAAAGAATTCCTTGAGACATAAAAAAAACATTAATAATTTGATAAAGCCCTAAATGAAATTAAACTAAATATCTACAAATAAGTTCCATACCGGAGTAAACGTGTTATGTATTGACGCAATATACGCGTAATAAGTAAATCAATAATAATAAAGCATTAAACGTAAACTAAACTGAATATATTAGATAACGCAGGAGTATCATTACGCAATGCTGCTGATCGAAGAATTTGATATGAAATCCGTAAATAATAAAACAATTGCAATATTGATAATCAAAAATGGTTGTTTTAAATGTTTATATGTATACGTAAATATATGTATATAGCTACATTCCTTTTTTGAGCTATTAACAAGAATTCAGAAATTATACGCGTATGTTTGTATGTGTATACATATATATTGATTATTACATTTAAGCAGGCACTTGTATGTTACTTTTGAATTTTAGATTTTCATACGGATCCTTGGGTGTATTGTGGCCATCGCTGGTGCTACACTTTTGAATTGATAAAAATTCCGCTTGTATATGTGCGATTGCTGTAAACAGATATGAAAATGATTTATTTATTTGATTAGATAATATCTTTTATAGCAATATTTTTGTTCTGCGTACATTATGAGTATTTATTAAACACATACATACATATGCATGTATGCTAAATTTTACTTACACTACAAAGCAAAGACATGCAGGCAGATGTAGAGGATGTATGTGGAGTTAAGGCACTTCAAAATCTTCCAATTTGATAGAATGCAGTGCTGTTTTTGTGATAAGATTTTTTTTTTGCATTTATAGAAAAGTATGATTAAGCAGTTTTCAGTATATTAAAACAAATACGAAATGTGCTGCGAGGGAAAAAGCAGAAATTGTGTTTTCAAGTGTAACTAGGGTGTTGGCTTAAACTATAAATATATTCGATTTTCACATATATTTACATTTTTCAAATATACAGTTAAGCATCAGTTAATAATATATTTTCTGATCATTATCAACAACAACTTTAGCTTCAATTGCTACTACAAAGTTTTAAATTAGCGCTATTCTTTTCAATTAGAGTGTACTATCACTTTCTCCTTCGCCTTGATGTTTTCACTAATTCATACATAATATATAGAATATACCTTGTAAGAAAAGGCTGATGGGTTCACCAATACACCCACACGATTTCGGGCAGCACTAACACACATGCATGATTTTTTGTTTATCTTTCTCTTCTGAGTACATACAAATTGAAGAAGAATGCAGTTTAACGGATTATCCGATTTTCTTTGCTCTTATTTTCGAGTAGAACGAAAGTTTTTATCGTTTTCTCCGTGGTAGATGGAAGTGAAAAATATACAAGTTATGGTAATAATATATTTTGGATTAATTAGTTACTCCATTTTTTAGTGCTGTTTACATTTGTTTATTTAAAGGTCCCTCTATATCGTACGAAAAAATCAGTTTGACTGGAATGGACGCTACCCATGTAGCCGCAGTAGGAGATTTAAAAATATTCGACAAAATTTTGCGTTGAGGTACACATGCATATATACATTAATAACATTCTGATTGGAATATACATTTTTTTATTGAACTTAGGCATTTTTATACTTCAAAGGAGCTGCGATAATGACGGAGGCGTTAGTGGGCCTAGGAGTTGCGTCACCAACGCATGACACTTTTATATACTTTTGTATATGTGGTTTTGCTTACAATATTTTGCAGATTTTTGAAAATGAATTTATTGTTATATTATTATTTCTTTGTATGCTATATAAACCATGTACCTGCTCTATGTAAAAATATTGAAATAAAGACTGAATCTTAATAATGTTTGTATGTATGTATATATGTAGGGAAAACGTTTTGTCAAAGCTGATTTCCTTCGGCATCAGTACTGTCACTCATCTGTATTCAGTTTGTACGGCACTGCTGATGTTTTTTTACGTCCATATTGTTTTCTTTTGGTATCAATGCTGTTGTTCAGCTGTGTTCGGTTTGTCCGACAAGAATGACAAAAATGAATGAGAAAACGAAGAGAGAATGACGTACACGTATACAAATGTAAACATCACGTTTGTCATTTCGGCCTTAAGAAAGTGGTGGGAAAATCGTTCTACGAGATGACGGGATATGTCGTCATGCAATCCTGACATATGTTGGCTCAAATGTTTGGAAGCCTTCTTGCAGGGTATGCAAGTATGATTGGTGTCCGGCCGAACAAGAAGAATACGGAAACCCGGGAAGTGGATATGGTACCAACCTATTCGCAAAACTCGTATTGTTGGTTCGATTTCCTACAAATTGGGTACGCAGGTATCTTTACGATTAATTTAACACGATTACTAGCTTTTCTTCCGGGAAGTTATTATTAAAAGCACGAACAACTTCAATTCGGTTGAAGTTTTTAGATATATCTATGACGATATATATTGTATAAGGCGGCAGCGGTAGCCGAGTGGTTAGCATTGTGTACTGCCATTCGGAAAGCCCGGGCTCAAATTCCGGTACGACCAATATCCAAAAGTTATAAAGAATATTAATTTAGATAAAAAAAAGTTAAGTTATTTTCTAATTGCGGTCGCCCCTACGCAGGGAATTTCAACCTCTTTATTTATGACATGAAATAAAGGCTCCTCATAAAAACCCATCAACCGTTCGGAGGCGGCTTAGGTCCCACCATTTGTTGGAAAAACATAAGGTCAATCAACGGTCACAAAGGCCCAATTATATATATCCATCCATCCATTTTTTTTTTGAAAAATATTTAGAAGCACACCGCAATTTGCAGTAGCAGCTCGGTCGCTATGCGATCACATATCAACTTTACCCAAGAAATTCATCTTATATTTGCAATTTATACCAGCTCAAGTTCAAGTACTGCAAATAAAAATAAGCCAGTATGTCAAACTCAGGGTACTATCACTCATTATACAATAATGACAAGGCTTTTAATATTCTCCAGTGGAATATACTTGAACTATATAATAACATCAATGATATACAATCACTTTTCAAGGGACAAACGTTTAAAGATAAGCAAGCAGGGTTTCTCTTCTTCATTTGCGTTGGCACCGCTTACGTAATTATAGCTCATCAATATTAGCGCGCCATTCATCTCTTCTTTTCACTGTTTGGCGCCAGTTGGAAATACCAAGTGAAGCCAGGTCGCTCTCCACTTGATCCTTCCAACGGAGTGGAGGTCTTTTTCTTAATCTGCTTCCACCGACGGGTACTGCATCGAATACTTTCAAAGCTGGAGTGCTTTCATCCATTCGGACAACATAACCTAGCCAGCGTAGCCGCTGCTTTTTATTCGCTTAACTATGTCAATATCATCGTATAGCTCGTACAGCCCAACGTTCCATCGTCTGCGAAATTGCCATTCCAAATGAGCAAAGGACCATAAATCGTTTGTAAAACCATTATCTCGAAGAGTCCTAGAGCCGACTCAACAGATATTGATATAATCCACGCTTCTGCCCCATATAGTAGGACGGGTATGAATTTCCAGGATGACATTGTTGTTGGTGTTAATACTGGTTTCAAGATTGACGAAGTTATCTATGGCTATGAGCTCTGCACTTCTTATTATTCTCTCAAGCATCAAATTGAAGAAATCACATGATAAGGAATCATCCTGTCTGAAACCTCGTATTGACCTTTTAGTGTTGCTGCTTTAAAATCGACAAAGAGTTGGTGTGTGTCAATTCTTTTTTAACGGGTCTTTTCCAAGATTTGGCGTATGGTGAATATCTGGTCAATGGCTGACTTACCAGGTCTAAAGCCAAACTGATAAGGTCCAATCAGTTTTTTGACAGTGGGCTGCAGTCTTTCACACAATACGCTTGTTAAGACCTTATGTGCGATGTTAAGAAGGCTTATTCCACAGTAATTGGCGCAGACTGTGGGATCGCCTTTTTTGTGGTAGGTCTAAATACTTCTTAATTTCCTAGGTGCTTAAAACTCTTTCTACTGCTCTCTTAGCAAGTAAATCCAATATTTTGTCCCCTTCTATTTCTGTGCATCTTTGTATCCAAATGAGTCGAACTGGCGATTTTCCCATCTCATTAGCTTTCCGACACCATGAGCGAGGCGAGCTCCTCCTTCAGTTTTGATATTTTACCAACAAGTTGAGGGACCTACAATTTATACTAAGTCGCCTCCGAAAGGCTGATGTTTTTTTATGAGGAGCCTCTATTTCGTGTCAGAAATATACTCGGAGTGGCTGACATTCCATGCGGAGTGGCGACCGTAATTAGAAAATTTAACTTAATTTTTTATTTAAAATAATTATCTATAACTTTTGGATGTTGGTCGCACCAGGATTTTAGCCTGGGCCTTCCGAATGGTAGTACGCTAGGCTAACCAGCCGTCTTTACCATTGGTCTAAAAATATTCTTAATTAAATATAGAAGGGGCTTTTTAGACAGGTGATTTTCAAGAAGAAATAACACGTCTATAAAATAATGTTATGCCCAAGAATTAGGCTTTGTTATAAAGCTAAGGGTTTGCCATTAAGTTATAAAAATGATTTCGGAAAGAGACCGAGACGCCTGACTCAAATAAATTCCAGCCGTGAGGCACAATTTTTGATTAGAAGCGCATGAAGCAATGTAGTCCATGTTAACATTCCTCAATTCAGGCATGAAAAAGTCATTAATTATGACTCTATAGTGTTCTTCATTGACTGTAACGTTATGACAGGCTTTTTGAAGAGATGTAGACTAATGATTCCCTCTGCCAATATACCACCCACACACAACTCAGTGATTTTGGTAGATGAAACAGTTTTTGAATAATGACTTGTGGATTATCATCACTCCAAATGGGACAATTTGCTTATTAACCTATCCATTCAACCAAAAGTGTGTTTCATCGCTGAACAAAATTTTCTTGTGAAAATAGTTATTGGCGGCATATCGTTTTAGGATCATTCATTGAACGTGTGCGACACGAAAAATCGTTCATAAAGTGTTGCACGCAATGGCGGATGTACTCATTCGGGTATTCTTCGATACTCTGCTCCACAGCAGCAATATCATCTTCGGTACGCACTGTACGACATATCTGACGATGCGCATTATCCACTGAAGTAAACGTGGTGCGAAACCGAATTACCGACTCTGCTGATTGATTGATTGGCCAAATATTGGACGCACCGAACCATTATTTTGGTAAAAAAAAAGAAATATGCGCGATATACAAACATTGTTTCGGGATAAATACCTTCATTATGAAATGGCAGACCACATTGAATATAAATCAATTAACAGCTGTCAAAAGCACCAACCCCGGAAAAAGTCTTGCATCATTAAAAATCATATATAATATTTAAAAAACACCCTTTATTATGGAAAATCTTAGATTATTAATTTTTTGTAACAGTCGAGGGTGGCAAACATATTTTACTTCGGCCATTAAACCTTTTAGTTCTAATTTAGAGTGGAGCGCATTCTTCTTTTGCTGCTACAATTGCTGTGTCTGGCAGCACCTTTATTCTAGGTGTTTTTAAAGCAGCAGCATAGTTTTATTACTTTGTTATTCAAATAAAACAACATTAAAAGACATAAATTATAAGTTTAATTTGCAAATATATACAATTGTGTGGCAAAGAATAAACAATTCTTATTTTAACAAAGAATATATTTTTATATAAATTATTATTTTTGTTTATTAAACTAGATACCTTTCTGTAAGTCCATTTCATCCATATCAGAATTTTTGATTTGCTGAAGTTTCTCACGAAATTTCTTTGTGATCTGCTTGCGTTGATAGTCAGCCTCTATTTCTTGCTTCGTACGTGGTATTCGAAATCGAATACAACAGCAGACCATAATTACTAAATTATATATTAAAGAAAAGTCAATTACTTTTATGAATACTCAATTAAATAGTTGTAGACTAAATAATAAAAAAGAGTGTTCTCTTTCACACGAGTCATAAGTGACTATCGCCAAGCTTAAAAGAAATGCTTGAAGTTCCGTCAGACGTTGCAATTGATTAACTTCGAATTACATGTCGAAATGACAAATTTCGAAATTTAATTTCTGAAACTGTCACTTGCAGCCTAAAAAATTTCATGAAAATTAAATTTTAAATTCTGGAAATTAGCTTATTTCATAATAACTTATCGAAAATCTTCTTTGACCATACTCAATAGAAATAAAAATTGCAACGGCAGCGCAAGCTCAAATTGCTTAATGGTGGAGTCACACGATGCAATTTTTATTTTTGTAATTATATGAAATGAAATTGCTGAAATTAATTTTAGGGTGGTCTTATGTCGAAAATGCAAATTTTTTACAGCAAAATGTTTGAGGGAAATAAAAATTGCTGCGTCGGACGACACCTAGATGAAGAAAAACGTCATCCATAATTTTTACAATAGCTGGCTTTAGAGATCTGTATCTCGCGTTCTATATGACTGGATTAAGCTAGATGGTTGAAACGAAGCTGACATTTGAAGAGTATTTGTGGTTCTCATACTGAATCAGTCAAGCTCGTTGTATGAGTACCACATGAGTTAGCGAGAAAACACGTCATGCACCGAATTTCCATCTACGAATCGCTGCAGAATCTCCACGAACTCGGCTCATTTCTGAAGCGAGTGGTAGATGGTGATGAAAAGTAGATCACTTATAGCAACGTCAAATGAATGCAGTCGTGTTCGAAAGACAGTAAGCCGGCACAAACGGTCTATAAGCCAGAATTGACGTACAAACTCTTATGAGTTTGCTGAGATTGGCAAGGAATTGGAATCACCGAGAGCTTGTTTGGGAGGTTATTGTGTATTCACCTTATAGTCTAGTCCTCGCGACAAGAGATTACCATCTGTTCCTGTTTCTGGCATATGATTTGGCTGACCTCAAGATAAGCCCGTGAAAATCCATTTTCAAATTTTTTACCAGCATGGAAAAAGGTTTTCAACGAGAGAGGCAAAAAGTTATCGAACAAAATGGTACATATTCCATATAAATCGGATAATTCTAACTATAGTAAATAAGGCCTTCAATTAATGTCAAAATAATGGTTGACTTTTTATTTGACCTAACATAATCGGCTATAATCGCGAAGCGGTGTCTACGCCAGTAAAGTAAGTAGAAGTAACATAAATAAATTTTGCGTAAAATAATGAGGGATTCTCGATTTGCCAAGGAAAAATCTACTTGGAAGTTTGTCAAAATGGTTGCGAAATAAAAAAGTGTAAAATACATGGAAATTGTTACCGATTTATTGAAAAATATTTAACAGATGAGTGTGAGCATGTCATCAAAGATTTATTTTCCGCACTCACTCCTGAGATTTCTCCTTGAAGAAATGTGAGCGAATAACAGGGGAATATTTTCCACATTCCATGGAGAAAATGGGTTAAAAATAAAAATAAAAAATACTGCAGACAAAACGTAGTTACTTTTATTTTTTTTTTTAGTATTAATACCAAAGTTATATACTCCAGTTGAGTACATAAATATTTTTGAGACCAGAACTTTATTATTTTTTTTTCAGGAGAAATATTATATTTGTGATTTTAGCTATAAAATTGGTTGCGTATACGCCATGACACATTTTTCTCTATGTACATATGTACACTTTATTATACTTTAGACAACCGAATAAATAATGGTTGATAAAAACACTACATAGAACACTCAATCAAGAATTTATGTATGTATATGAGTGAAAATCCGTTACACATACAAATACTCAAGGATATTCCGAGGCAAATCGCTATTATGTGCCAAACGCGAAATCCACCAATCGTGAGAGTTTCCAGCCAAGCAGGTTTGGTATCATCTTCCATGTTTATTGTTTTCTTATTTTATTTTTTATTTTAATTAATTTATTCAATTCAACATACAGCGAACTGTATTACTCTCAAATAGTTAACTTTTCACAAAAATACTCAATACACTATGTAGTAGTTTAGTAGTTTTAAATACTGCTCGGACTGAACTTTAAGTAATAATACTTTTTTAATTATACGTTTTGTACATATTTTTGTATATGTATAAGTATATTATACTTTTCGTTTAATTTTGAAAATATTTTTTCATAGGAAGCGCTAAGTACAAAAGCTAAAAGAATACTGAATTCAAATATCCTTAACTGTAAGCTATAGTGTTCTCAGCTAGAATGAACTACTTTATTATTTTGCGTTTGTATGGGTGTTGTAACTTAAGTACAGGGTGTCTATCTTGAGAAATTTCTTAAAAATGAAAAGGTTTTAAAATATTTCTTCGGAAAATTGGTATGGCAAACCCCTCTAGAATATAAAGTATTAACGAAGCCGGCTAGAAGCATAAATCGATTGGGGCATACTTCAAATTTTATACGAAGGATTTTATTGAGAAGCCTTTATATTTTATGCTAGATTTATTTCAAATATCTTGCCGAGGGGCGACCGCAATTGGCCTTTCGATGTTAATGCGAAATGCTAACCACTCGGCTCTCGAACAGCACACAATAATTGAAATTTGAGATTCGATCTTCGACTTTCGGTTGAGAGTAAAGAAAACAAGAAGAAAGTGTGTTTGTTGTAACCGCAAAATTATTCCCCAAAGTAGTTTTTGGGGAATGTTGCGGGAGTGACAGTCCTTGGCTGGATAACAACACGGGTCGTTAAGGTATTAAGACCCGACTGTCGCGGGAACCATTGGATTGTAGTCGTCTCTTACGACAGGCATGCCTTACTGCGGGTAAATTCTTGAACCCCTAACCCTTAGGGGGGGTTAAGAAAGTATTGTCTTTGCCCACGTTTCATGAACATATAAAGAATTTTAGATCTTTTCTTCACTGATATATTCTAGCGATATATTCACGCTCTTAGCAGATTTATAAAGTCAATCCCCTTATTTGAACAAATCGGTAGTTTAGGGCTATAAGAAATAGTCTTTTGAACCGGTCTGTTCCGATAAATGATGAAAAATGAAAATCTGCATACAAAGTTGAGTTGAAATATCTCACAATTCATGGACCTTGGGTTCAAACAAACGGACAAACAGACAGTCAGATCATCGGCGTTCTAATCCAATCAGTTTAAATTCCGGTGCGTATCTTATTTCTCCTATTTATATAATGGAACGAAGAATGGAGTTCATAATAAGGAGTTTTCATTCGTTTCAAATAGCCCATGTCCTGCAAAGATTAAACAACTGATTCCCCATCTTTCATGCTGACCCACGTGTTGGCTCACCCTATATTGCTCTACTACATATTTATAAAACAGTTATTTAGCATAGTGTACGTCTATTGATATGATATATCAGTCATGTATAAATGTATGCTCGTTTATTATGTGCTTATATGTACATACATATATTCAGGATGGTGAATGTTAAATTGTAGGAAAATAAAAAAGGCTAGCAGCTAGTGACATTCAAATTTCTGAAAAGGGAGTGCCATGGTGAACGAATGTACCTTCATATTTCTAGCGGCATTCTTAAGCTCACACTTTTCTCATTATTGTTTTCTACAAAATTTTACATTTCATACAACTTGGCCACCGTTGACTTTGCATACTATTTTGTATGTATGTAGGCGGGATGATAATGATGACCTGAAGCCTATGCATGTAGGCGAGGCTGCCGGCATATTGTTGATTTGTGTTCGCATTCACCAGGTTTTATGTACATATGTATACATCGACCCTTCGGTAGCCCTCAGTACGGTGTATAACAATAAAGTGTTCCATGGATGAGGTGATGAACATTGTTCCACAGTAAAATGATATAATCGAATAAAGACACAAATAATTGTCATGGAAATAGGAGAAAAAAGACACTATTTAGTAACTGGCTCAAGATCGCGTTGAATCAATGGAAACTATAGCAATAATTCGAGGGGGAACTGTAAAGAAATCGATGAAAAAAATCAAAATCTAATAGCAAGCTCATGTTTGTCGTCGTCGTCGCCTTCGCGACTCGGCCCCCAAGTGACTTTCGTAAATATCTTCGTCTATCTTGCAATCAGCATTAACACCAAAAACAATGTAAGCCTGGAAATCCAGCGCAGAATCACTCTTGCCAACAGATGTCACGGCGTTAGGAGTTCTCGAGAGAAGCGTGTTGCGAACGATTTATGGTTCTTTGCGCATTGGCAACGGCGAATACCGCAGACGATAGAACGATGAGCTGTACAAATGAATTCTAATGTATTTGTTCTACATTCACCCGATTTTTTTTCTTTCTGAACGAGCTTCATGAATGAATCTACAGCAATGAAATGAAATGGCTAACGTGCCAATCCCTGGATATGTTCGATAAATACGAAGGTTAACTTTTATATTCCGGGATTTGGAAACGTTGGGTTTGCAATCTGGAAACTGATAACTTGCCTATTTTGTTGTCGTACATATTCAGAACGTTTTGACATAAGAGCGATGATGGTATTGGTCATAGTAACTTAAAAAATGCATCTCGGTGAAAAGTGGAACTAAGTAGTAAATCGCGGGGTTATTTTGAACTACTTTCAATGTCGATTAACTTAACTAAATTTTGTCGAAAAAACTTTACTAAGGACCAGTATTTATCGATGGTATGGATGGGGAATTCAGTCGAGGCCGTAGATCAGTCCAAGACGAATTTCGTGAACTGATATTTCAAGATCGTTATGTTACCTATCGTGAGATTGAGACAAGTGTAGGCATTGGTGAGACTGGCATTCGAGGTGTGACAATTAGGAATTAGACTGATTCCATAAAAACCATATGTTTCAAAATTATTCTACAACTCTGCCATTCCCTTCAAAGTAGTCCCGTTGTACAGTGCGTTTTCCATGCTTCGTGTAATTTCTGGAACGCTTCAGCTGGGATATCTGCAAGTACCCTCGTCACGGCCGCCTGGATGTTCTCAATTGACTCAAAATGGGTTCCTTTGACTACGGATTTTATTCTAGGGAACAAAAAAGTCACAGGGCGACATATCAGGCGAATAAGGCAGTTGTTGCAACAATGCCACATACTGGGGCACGTTGAAGGCGGTGTGGCACGGCACGCTGTCGTGATGAAGGATCCAGTTAGGAGCGATGTCTGGGCGCACCTTGTTGACTCCTTTTCGCCATCTCTCGAGTACTTGGCGATAGTAGACTTGATTTACGGTTTGCCCCGGTGGAAGAAATTCTATTTGGACGTTTCTACGGTTATCCTTAGCGTGAGTCCGCACCTCGACTGGTTTCCCGCTCCGTGCCTCGTCTTCCTCACTATCACGCCCGCTCCTTAAGCCCTGATGCCATCGAAGCACCTGGGCACGACTAAGAGCACTATCACAATGCACTTTTACTATTTTAGCGTACGTCTCCGAAGCTGTTTCGCTCAATTTAGCGCAAACTTTTATCGCGACACGTTGCTCTTGATTTCGTTTAAATTTGTTTACGCACGAAGGATTTCCAAGCAAAAAGTTTCTTTATTTTTTCTTTTAAACTGGACATGTCGCAACCGCATTACCAGAACAACGCAGAACAGAAAATCGTAAGTGGCACACAATCATTAGTTTACCAGTTCTGCTTCAAGGAATCAGGAAAACCAGCTACCGTTGCCAGATCACTCTTCATCTCTACAAGGCGAGCTCTACCCCATTGACTGAAACCACGGGATTTTTAGCACTCAAAACATCGAATAGTCCTGACTGGGCAAAGAATGACTTGTCTTTATTCCCGAATGTAAAAAATAAACTGATAGCTCAACATCTCTCGACACCTGAGGAGGCGGTTGTTGCATTCAGAACGCATGTTTTGGAGATACCTCAATCGGAGTGACAAAAGTATTTCGACAATTGGTTCAAAAGCATGCAAAAAATGTGTATAGATCTTATTGGAGAATATTTTAAAGAACAATAAAGCAATTTTCGATGACTAATATTTGTTTTTGTTCTCTAATCCCGAAATATGGAATGTAACCCTCGTATGCAAAACCACGTTTTTTGTGTGTATTGTTTAGTAACATGATACACTGTACTGTGGCAAGTCATTACTTGCACCACCGCTAGCAAATGGGACACTCCCTGCTGATGGTATTAATTTGTTTTCTTTTACTGGAATGAATACGTTGAATCAAAAGCGCATGATTACGTAGGTTGCTACATATGCAGATGCAAACATACGTGTGTACATATGTACAAATTAAAACAAAATTATGAAAATAGTTGGCATATCTTAAAGATAACAAAAGTTCAAGTTTTTAACATAGAATTGTGGTAAATTATAGGAAAGGTCAATCGCATGTTTACGAGATACATATGTATATAACTATGTACTCGTATGTATGTGAATGCATGGTGTCATCTTAACGTTGCTTTAGTGGTGATGAACATGTGCTTTTCACGTCCATATATTTTTACATTCATACATACATACATATATTGTTTGCTTTTGTTGTTCACTCGCACCTACTAGCGTGCAGGTCACCGGTTGCGCCTGTCGGCCAAAATGTCGTAACCATTATTCTGGTAGTTTTATGATTTCCACTCAAGTTTACAGTTTAAATTTTTTTGTTTAATATAGGTGGAAAGACAGGCGTTATTAACGGTGTAGGAACAATGAAAGACTTACGATAAGATGGGCACATTGTAACCCCACGGCTTAATTTGATCTTAGCGTTTCTCATGAATAGGCGTTTGCTACTCCTCATAGACCAAATTAGTAATTGTCTTCCTCTGGTCTTGGCGCTGCCTGTGTGTAATAGTAGACTGCATGAGGCGACTGTCCAGCACATGAAGATTTTCAGATGACATTAGATTCACTGTTCTTTTTCTTTTAAAATAAGGGCTGCGAATAGCGCTTCAAACCCTGCAGATCGAATGTTGACGTGTCGAGAATTACATTAAGTGTTTCGGTTCAAATATGTTAATAGACATTATCGTGGATCTTTCTAAATTACAGGTAGGTGTTTGACTTTTCATACCGGGTGAGCGAACGCGCCTCATAAATATCCATCAGTCGCACGAGGATAGATTAGAATAAACTGTAGTTTCTTCCATTTGTTGGGGAAAAA